TCTTGTGTTCTTCACTATCAAATTGTATTTCTTGGACTTGTCTTCCAAAGAAACTCTCCGGACTCAAGACCTTTGTTCCAGGGTCTAAATATATAAGTGACCTCAGTAGCATATGGTGATTTGCTGTCCTGCTTTGGAAAGCATCTAGCTGTCTGCAGAAAGCAAACTAAAAAAGTCCTACCCTCATCCCTTATATGTGGGTTGTGAAAATCATTGGAATCATTCTTCAAGGACTAGCAGTGAATTCTTACTGGTCGCCTATTAATGCAAAGAGGTGTCCTGTGTCCTGTGTCCTGTGTCCTGTGGGTTACGGGGTCTAGGCACTAGAACAAAAGAGGTCTAGCCTGGAAGCCCTTCCACTTTGAAGTGTGGAAAAAAGGAGAACACCACATTTAAAGAGGATTCAGACCCCAGAATGTCCCAAGCAGAGGGACGGCCTCAGGCAGACTAGCGTGTGATCGCTACCCACAGTCGCTCTCCAGGTTTTCTAGTATTAACATGTCTGACTGAGAACATGTACCGTTTCAAAAGCCCAGCATCGCTTCTCAGGTCAGTACAGTTGGTACATGGTGACTGAGCCTTGTGGGTGACAGATTTGATACTGAAAGGCAAAACATCTGCTTCTCTAAGTGGCTGCTCCTTCAATCGGTTGGGGCACCATACGTCCCAAGTCAACCACAGAACTCCAGCATGCTTCCCTGCTGACCCCTGCAAAGCATGTCCCCACCTCCAGCCCTTCTCGCAAACATTTATATAGCTCACCCCCTCTCGGTTTTCAGCTCTGTCTGTTTGCGGTCTTCTCTGGCTAGCCAATATGATATCACCCCCTACCTTGCCCCGCTGTCTTGCCTTCCCTTTCCCCCTTTTTCCTTTCACCTGTTACTTGATATGTACATGTAAACATGCTTGCACGTGCACACATGAGGAGGTCTTAGGTTGATGCTTGGAACTGTCCTGCTTTTCTACCCTGCTGCACTGAGGCAAGGTCTCTTAATCAATCCCAGAGGCTGCTGATGTGGCTCATTTCTCTGGATGCTCTGGGGGAGCTCACTGTCTTCTGAAGCTGGAATAACAGGCAGGCCGCCACACCCACCTGACATTCATTAGGGTCTGGGAATCCAAGCCTTGGTCCTTCTGCCCGCACAGGAAGCACTTTGACCACTGAGCCACCTGCCCAGTCCCTCTCCCAGCATTTTATTCTTATTCGTACATGGCACAAAGTGTCACCTCCTTACTTCACTGTAGTCTCCTCCCACTGCAAATTCTGTGGGGCCAGGGGCTCTTCCCAGTCCCCTATCCCACTTCTAGGCTTTCAGTGACCCTGACCCAGAGAGGGTGTATGATAAAGATTTGTTATAAGCATAAGCAAAGGTCATCATTAGAACCTCAAAATTATCATTAGCTATGGATAAAGTTGTATCATCTTGTCTGGAATCTGCATACTCAAGGATCTCAAGCAAGCATCAGTATTTTGCAGGAAACATTGTCCTTGTTTTTCAAGATCAGTGTATGTATCAAGTGTGAATACATAAACAGGTTTATATTACCATAACCTTCTACAGGTCACAGATTTCAACTCATTGGACATTCATTGTAGAAATAAATTCTGAAATTTCAGATCTCGGAGACTATATTTAAGTCACTAACGCAAATTAATTTCTACATGAATTCATGTGACAAAGATCTATTGAGTACGTACGATGGGTGTGGTGTTGGGTGAGGTGCTCTATTTGAGTTTTGAAATCAACTTTACATTTCACTGTAAAGGCTGTTATCTTGCTGTAATAGATAAGAAAAGTTTATTTTTAAAAAAGAAAACCTTGCTTTTCTCCATTGTTTTATCAGAAGCCCTATTTCTTTAACTCAAAGACCCTCGAGAGGAAGTGCTCACGGGGAAGCTTGCAAATGGAGCTTCAGACAATTCAGGCAATTTCAAAAGGAAACATTCTTTCCATGGAGAATTATCAGTCCTGGATGCCCACTACTGCAAAAGTTATAGGCGGCCAAAGCCTAGTTGTGTAGGGCTTATAGCTCCCTCTACAAACTCAAACACAGAGGAGCCTCCTTGCCGGGCGATGGCCACCCACCCACGCCCGTTTTCCACAGTGTCACAAGCTTTTGCCATTCTACTCCTAGTCTCGACCTGCCCTTCTGTTTCTTCCATCTTAGTTCCCTGTTTCCATATCAGGAGTCATGCCCCCCTCCCGGTGTGGCCCACCATCTTAAGACTTTATCAGTGTAGCCTCCTGCTTCCCTCTCCCTCTCTCTGAACTGATTTACAGGCTGAGGAAGTAGGCGCAGTCCCACTGCTGTGCCATCCCTGTGATGTAGCGCCCTCTCATTCACCACCCAACTTATTAAAAGACAAGTCTGTTGGCACTGCTTGCCGTTCTCTGGATTGCTTCTTCCTCGTAGCATCAAAGCCCAGTTTCCCCCGTGGCACCATCGTTTATTTCTTTTGGCCCCACAGGTCAATTTTCAAATGTCCTTTACTTACAAATCTTCTGAATAAAAAAAAATATCAAACTTTTGAAATAAGCTCATAATAGAAGAAAAAAACATTAAAGCTACCTTAAGGGAAGAAAGGACATCCATGCAAAACAAATGGTTGGCAGCAGCCTGCAGGGATGGGTACAGCATTTACCAACCCGAATTACAGATTTAAGCTGTACCTTTAACCTCGCCAGGCCACATGTTAGAAAAGCAGGGCATGGCATTTGAAAAACCATCTCATCTACATGAGAAAAGAAATCAGAAATTCTCAAGTCATCCACTGTGTTGCTGTGTAACTCTTTCTCTAATCAGGTTATTATTTACTTTGGTAATTTCTAATACTCTTAGCTTTCTTATAAGAAATTTACATGTATGTTTTATTTGCAAATACAGCGATGGCAACTTTTTTTTTTTTTGCTATAAAGGAACCAAAACCTCCTAAATGACTTTTACAACCATCAGAAAGAAATATGGCTGAAGAAACAAGAAAGTAAAGAACTAAAATTTAAAATTCATTTTTATAAATCCTCCTTTAAACCTTGGGTGAGATCCAACAACCTCATGTTAAAATTTTAGAAGGCCTGGCTTAAAGGACATAGGGCAATTTACTTTATTTTGACAGCTTCCAGGGCACTTGGTCCATATATCATTATTAATTTTTAAAAACAATAAATGAAAATCAAAACTCTTATGTGGATGGCCTTAGTTTTATTATTTTATCAATGGGATAATGCAACCTTTTCCCAAAGAACAAAATTTTTTTAAAATTTAAGAAAAAAAAGAAGTCTTTGGTCTCAATGTGTTGTACATTTATTTGTACAGACTTGATTATTACAGGCTTTTCAACGAGGCCCAGGGCAGCCCATTTGGGTTCTGACAGCAATTCAGTAGAATTTAAGGTATGGTAAAATGTGTCCCAAACAGGGTAATCCACTCGAGCAATTTCAATAAAGTACTGAACTATTAGCATAAAGGTGCATTCGCTCCTGTGGATACTGCGGGAGAAATATAGAGACCAAGGGAATCAAGCTGCAGTGGATACACATGAATATGCCATCTCAATTCCTCTCTTTCCCCAACCCTATCTTTATTACGCAGAGGAATTTAAGCCTGCATAGACTCTGGGTGCTTTTTGGTGTCCCGGTTCCTAGACATCACCAGAGAGCCGGACATTTGCCAAATTTCCACCAAGTGAGCTGCACTGGGAAGGAAAGCGGGACTTCGCTGACCCGAGATCTTATCGCCATGGGTCTCTGGAGATTTCAGTTCCTAAATGGACCTTCTAACCATTGTGAAAGCTGAGAGTGGATGCTAGCAGAAATTAAGTATCCCGTTTCCCAAGGAGAAACGCCCAAGAGAACGTAAGACATCTCTCGGCACGGGCTTTTTCCTCATTTATACCGCCCTCCCAACCTCTTTCATTTTTATAAACCCCCCCCCCCCACTACACACCTCCAGAGTTCATTCTAAAAGAAGCAACACAAAGAATACCCTCCCTTCAGCCAAGAGGTTTTCAGTATGGTAATGTGGAAGAGACTCTGGCATTAAAAGTTGTGGGAAGGGGAGAGGAAGGTGACCATTAAACAACCTTCTCTTTAGGTTAGACAAGAGATAAACAATAGAAATTGCAGAGTCAGGCAGTCAGGGATCCGACTGAGGAGGGGCTAGGAAGTAGCAGGAGTACTCCCTTCAGAACCAGGGACACCCGCAGTCTCAAAAGGTGTAACCATCATCCTCCTGTTTTCCGGCCATGTACCTCAGCGCAAAATGCTCACTTCCACATCCCCGAGTTAGGAGGTCAGGAAAGGGGAAGCGAGAATCCCTACACCCAGCCACCCAAAACCAGAAGCAGAACAGAAACTGTATGTGCTCGGACTTGCAGGGTCGAAACAACCAACACTGTCCCACAGTGTTAGCTGGTGGCATCAAAGTCAGGAAAAGCAGATCGCTGGATGTGGGGCGCAGTTTGGGAAGCGTGGATCCAATTGCACGCTACTCACTCTTACACGGGGTTTTACAAACCCGGCCTTACCCTACTGCTTCCCTCCACACTTCACACACCGAGTGCATCCTGCCCACCTCACGGTTTCCATCATCAGTCAGCCAGAGAGGAGGGATCCTAGCGGGGATTCCTGGAAATGTCATCCCCTACACCTCGGATCTGCCACCTCCATCCCCACTGCTATCACACACACACACACACACACACACACACACACACACACACACACACACACGCTCCTGCCATGACTGTCATCAGGCCCGCTCTTCTCAAAGCCGGGTATCTCAGCGCGCACCGGACGCCTGGCATCTCTCGGGTACACACCCTTCCCCCGCCTCGCTGGCTCCAGGCATTGCCCCCTGGATGTAGCCTGCAGTCCCTGTTCATCCACACTATTGTTCCTCGCAGCTCCCCTCGCTCCCGGGATCGCCCTTCCGAGAGCAACCGGGCTCCGTCCCGGGTGTCGGACACCCCGCACTCACCCAGCCCGCCCTGGCGGTGGTACCTTGCCTGACAGCTGGGTCCGCGGGCCCGCGGGAGCAGGCGGCGCTAGTGACAGCGACCGTGCCAAGCCTGGGAATAAAGCTGTTCTCCAGTCGCTCCCGCCTCCAGCGCCACCATCTTCCCCCGCCGCTGCCGGGACCGCAGCCGCCCGCGCCCGACTCCGGCTCTAGCTCGGC